TGCTAAGCTTGTGATGATTAGGCTGAAATTTGATCTTGTGTTGACTCTGTGGTATGTGGATTCGAAAGCTCTAACTAGTGTGGTGTTTCTGATGACTGACTGACTGTTTCTTGTTTTCAAACCTCGACCTTATTCTTTGTCTGATGTTTGCTTGAGGGCAAGCAAAAGCTAAGTCTGGGGGAGTTGATATATCATGGTTTTTATGGTTTTTAACCATGATATAAGTCCTTTTAATTGAGTCTTTTTGGTCTTTTTAGAGTCCTAGAAGAGTCTTTGCAGGTTATAGCATGTCTGGAGCATAACTAGAGACATTGGAGCCTTTTGGAGCATTGCAAGTTGAAGCCACGAAGTATCCAGCTCGAAGAAGAAAGTATGCATATGGGTGACGCTCGTCACCAAGCTGGTGACGCTCGTCACCCACCAAGGAAGGAGGTCGTGGCCTGTTTTTAAAAGATTGGGAAGAAATTGCAGTTTTGGCTCAGAAGTTCCAGTTTTTGCAAAAAGGCCCCAGATCGTGTTTTAGCTTGTATATTAGGTTTTTCAGCCATTCTTTTGGCATATATCTTGTATCTTATTATTTTTGAGAGCTTTAGAGAGAGATTTGTAGAAGAGCTTTTGGAGAGACAAATCAGACTCCTTCAGAGCAGATTTTGAACTCCTTTATTTCTATTTCTTATTTCTTTTATGCAATCTATTCTTTTCATGATGTTTTCTCAAATCACCATGTCTGAGTAGTTTGTTAGTTAAGTTAGGGCTTTTCAAAGGTTGAAGAAGAGTTTGTAGAATTGCTAAAAACTTATAGGAAATTCATTGGTTCTTCATCTGTGCTTGCATTCATATCGATTTCTTAGACACATCATCTGGATTTCGAAACCCTAGGTTTTTGATAGATGTGAGAGCATTATTAATCACCTGAACTAGTATTAGATGAGCAAAACGCCCTAGTACAAAGAGATTTGGCTTATGAGTTTTGTGAACAATTGAACCTGATCAGTTAACCCTGAGGAAGCAAAGGAGTTGGAAAAACAAGTACAAGAGCTCATGTCAAAGGGCTATATCCGAGAAAGTCTAAGTCCTTGCGCTGTACCGGTTCTACTAGTGCCTAAGAAAGACGGTACATGGAGAATGTGCGTGGATTCTAGGGCGATAAACAACATCACGGTCAAATACCGCCACCCTATCCCACGGCTAGATGATATGCTCGACGAGTTAAGTGGTGCCACCTTATTTTCCAAGATTGATTTGAAAAGTGGGTACCATCAAGTTAGAATGAAGGAGGGCGATGAGTGGAAAACCGCTTTCAAGACCAAGAGGAGTTTATATGAGTGGCTAGTCATGCCATTTGGACTCACCAACGCCCCTAGCACCTTCATGCGCCTCATGAATCATGTGCTACAAGAGTATATCTGTAAGTTTGTAGTGGTATATTTCGATGATATTCTAATATATAGCTCAAACTTAACTGATCATATTGAGCATCTTGAGAAAGTATTAGAAACTCTAAGGCTAGAAGGACTATATGCAAACCTAAAGAAGTGTACCTTTTGCATTGATCAAGTAGTGTTTTTAGGTTTTGTTGTAAGTTCACAGGGACTTAAAGTAGATGAGGAGAAGATAAAAGCGATACAAGATTGGCCTACTCCCACCACCATTGGACATATCAGAAGCTTCCACGGCTTGGCCAGCTTCTATAGGAGATTTGTCAAAGATTTTAGCACCATAGCCGCCCCAATGACATCCGTGATTAAGAATAATGCAGCATTCTCATGGGGAGAAGAACAAGAGAAAGCTTTCCAGAAGCTTAAAGACAGTTTAACACACTCCCCTATTTTAGTTTTGCCTGACTTTAACAAAACTTTTGAGGTTGAATGTGATGCTTCAGGAACAGGGATTGGTGCTGTACTAATACAAGGAGGAAAACCAGTGGCTTATTTCAGTGAGAAACTCAAAGGAGCTGCTCTTAACTATCCAACTTATGACAAAGAATTGTATGCCCTGGTAAGGTCACTAGAAACTTGGCAACATTATCTTTTAGCTAAAGAGTTTGTTATCCATACAGATCATGAAACTCTAAAGTATTTGAGAGGTCAAACCACATTGAAGAAAAGACACGCTAGATGGCTCGAGTTTGTGGAAACATTCTCATATATCATCAAATATAAAAAGGGGAAAGAAAATGTTGTAGCTGATGCACTTTCAAGGAGGCATGCTCTAATCGCTACAATGGAGGCAAAAACCATGGGGTTTGAACATCTCAAGGAGCTATACAAAGATGATCCTGACTTTGGCGAATTATACCAACAAAGCAGCAAAGGCGCAGCCGGCTCATTCTACCAACATGAGGACTTTTTATTCAAAGACAAGAGGCTATGCATTCCCCAAAGCTCAATGCGTGAGTTAATCATGAGAGAAGCACACGGAGGAGGACTTATGGACCATTTTGGAGTTGATAAAACACTAAGTGTCATCTCAGAACACTTCTATTGGCCCCATCTCAAGCGTGATGTAGAGAGGTTCTGCTCAAAATGCATCGTTTGCCTTAGAGCAAAGTCCAGGTTACACCCTCATGGCTTATATATTCCTTTGCCTATTCCTGATCTACCATGGGTAGATATTTCTATGGATTTTGTTTTAGGTTTATAAAAGATCAGAAACAAGGATTCAATCTTTGTAGTAGTGGATAGATTTTCTAAAATGGCACATTTTATTCCTTGTGCTAAAACTAATGATGCTACACAAGTTGCTGATCTTTTCTTCAAGGAAGTAGTGAGAATTCATGGGCTGCCAAGAACCATTGTTTCAGATCGAGATACAAAGTTCTTAAGCCATTTCTGGAGGACATTATGGAGGAAGCTGGGAACCAAGCTTCTATTCTCAACCACTTGCCACCCTCAGACTGACGGTCAAACAGAAGCTGTTAACCGCACCCTTTCAACCCTTTTAAGGGCCACGAAAGAACAGGTTAACCAAGACGGGGTGACCAAAGCTGAGCTAATGAAAAAGATGTTTCAAAAAGTCAAAACCAATATTGAGCAAAGGAACTTACACTACAAGAAGAATGCTGATAAGGGCCGTAAAGAAGTAACATTTCAAGAAGGAGATTGGGTTTGGCTGCACATGAGAACAGAAAGATTCCCAACTCAAAGAAAGTCCAAGCTGCTACCAAGAGGAGATGGCCCATTCAAAGTCCTGAAGAAGATCAATGACAACGCTTACCAAATAGAACTTCCAGGTGAGCTTAACATTTCAAACACATTCAACGTTTCTGATTTGTTACCATTTGATGCAGATGGAGTTCTGAGGTCAGAACCTTTACAAGGGGGAGAGGATGATACAATATCAGAAAAGAATGAGGACCCAAGTACCCTAGTTCCCACCATCAGAACAACACCAAGGACCAGATCAGGAACAAGAGATGTTTATGAAGCTTTTAATCTAGCAACCGAAGCTTTAATGATCAACCAAGAGCTTGAAGGTATCACGTCTCAACTTGATAAGTTAAGCATTTCAAAGGAAGCAACTCATGTCAAGGAAGAGCTTGAAGAGCACGGCATCATTCAAACACAAAGGGAGCGCCAAATACAAGATATACCCACCAATGACGGTCCAAGCATCAAAAGCATATCTTATATCAAGGAGTGGCCAATGATTCAAGAGAAGGGTGAAGTTACCTTGTTTAGCATCACGTCACTTAGCTGAAAGATCAAAACGCACCAGTACAAGGAAGGCTTGAAACGCAGCACTTCAACTAAACCAAGCAAATCAAGTTTAAACCAAGGTATGTACTGATTTCATTTCTATTTCCTTCGGGTATTTACTAATAAAAACAAAGATTGCTTTTGTGTTTAAGTGATGATTCTCTTAATTTACATTAGTAGTCAAATGCATTTGTTTCGCCAATTAGTTTTTAATTTACTTCAATCATTTGTGTTTTCTTTAATGTAATTTGTTTCAAAGACCCCAAGAAGGGCAACAGCTGTTTGGACTAGTTATAAAGTCCCCTCTCACAGCAGTGTATTCTTTACCTTTTGATCAATAAAAATACCCGAGTTTTCTTATAAAGAAATCCCTTTGAAACTTCCTAAACACTTGAGAGATTCATTGTTTAGAGAGTTTTGTTTGTCTTATCAAAGTTTAGAATCATAAAACTTTGTGGCGGCTTCGATCCATTGATATCAATTCATTAACATCCATTGGTCAATAGAGAAGTGTTGAACAGCCACTCTTTGATCCCACACACGTCCACCTCCTCACCATTCACCCCTTAGTCGTTTTGAAAGCGTTGAACAACCATCATACGACTCCATCAGTCCACCAACAAAATTAACCACCCTTGATCTTGTGTCAGTAGCTTTAAAATTTTGTGCTATGTTCTCTATTTTTTGGTCATATTACGTGGAGATGGAGTGTCAAAACGAGTTACTGGGAGATTCACAGAATTTTGATGGTATGTGAGCTGAAGATTCTGAAAACCGCATAGGATAATTGCTCCGAGAAGTACACCAATTTATGGCCAATAGATAATTGGTTGTTGGAATATATAACCAATGTTAATATAATAATATTTCTTTTGGATAAAGTAATAATATTAGTTCTAAAATAGAAACTAAAAGCCGAGGGAAAAAGAATTTTAAATTTCTGTTTTGAAAAAAAAACGTTCTCTGCCCCGTTTCCCGAGGAAAGTCCTTAGCCGCTGGTCCTTTCTCTGAGCTTTTCTCCAACCACTTTTTCCTTCCCAAAATAGCAGTATTTTCAAATCTCACCCGTCTTGGGTGTCACACCACCACGGTTCCACCCCCACCTCCAGGTCGGAGGGCATGTACCTGCTGCCGGAAGTCACCATGGAGACCCCCTGGACCGCATACAAACGACAATCACTTAGGAAGGAAACTCATTACGGCCTCCAAAGTATCTGTTAGACAAGAGAGAGGCTTAGCCCTAACTCTCAACCTATCAGATCCAGTATAAGGCACCGTAAATTTACCTAACTTACCCTACAGTGGGGATTTCTCATCTATCGCAAAGCTTCAACCAGCGGGCTTATCCGACAATGGCTCATAGATACACATCTGCCGAGAAAGGAAAATGGATCCCATCTCGCTCAACTTCGGAGAGACGTACCCCTATCCAAATCCCTGCAAGCAACAGTTCAGCACTCATAGAGGAAAATAAACTCACGTTGATTGGACGAGTGACAAACCCTGCAGCTCAGAAACCTCAATGGGTGGTCGAATGGCTCTTGCAAGTCTGGAATCTTGACTCAGTAGTGGTGGGACGACCCTTGGGCCCAGATCTGTTCAGCTTTAAGTTTGAATTAGAAGACGCCCTAGCAACCATCCTCCGCAAGTCCCTCTACCACTACAAATGATGGATGCTCATCCTCCAAAGATGGGAACCAATAATCTCCATCACTTACCCATCATTCATCCTATTTTGGGTCAAAATCCACGGAGTCCCTCTTCACTACTGGCAAGAATCTACCTTTATGTCCATCGGAGAAGCTCTAGGCAGGATAGTTGACAAAGACATACCGGAAGGAAGACTTCGCCTGGAAGTCAATGGCCTCAAACCTCTAGAGATGAAGGTGCCTATTCGTCTTCCCTCGGGAGAAAACTTGTGGCTAACACTCGAGTATGAAAAACTGGAAAAACACTGTTTCCTCTGTTTTTCCCTCCTCCACGAGGAAAAAGACTGTCACCTTAAACCTGCAGATGCTTTAAGAGAGACCTCAGTCAGGGGAATAAACCAACAAAATACGATAATCTCCCTAGAGGAAGCTAGAAGGAGGCATCAGCACAGAGCAGGAGACCTTCTACCACCCCAAAGAAAAGAAGACCTCAGCCGAAGGGAACCCTCTAGATCCTTCCACAGAGACACCTCCCATCACGAGAGATCCCAAATCTCTTCTCGCCCTCGCAGAAGCCCTTCTCCACTCAGGTCAAGAGGCATCGAGTCCTGGCTTCATTACCCCTCCCGTGGGGATTTTCATCAAAACCTTAGCAGGGAATATAACCGCCATGATGATAGAAGAACCAACAGAAGCAGATCCTACACCCACCAAAGAGAAGAGACTCCCACTCGGTCAGTCTTTAATCAACCAAACAACAAGGAACCCACCCCTACAGTGGGTAGCCACTCAGAAAAGGGATCAAAAGAGGCGTCACCAAGATTTACCTCTAATGCCCAGGGGAACTTGCACCGTATCTCTCCACAGACATCTCAGAGGACAATAGGGTCCCACAGCCCTCCACCAAATCCTCCAAGGGAGGACATGCGTTTACCGTCTAATACGGAAAGAGGTAATGAGACTAGCCCACACCAAAGGTGCTCAGCCCTAGACAGAATCTCTCCATAAATTACTTCGACACCCCTCGGAAGGAACAACAGCTCCAGCTTACTCTCTGAGAGACTCCAAGAGATAGAAATACAGTATGATGGCTCGCTAGGGGGACTCCCATCAGAGGCCATCTCACAGGGGGAGAGACTCCACCCAACACTCCGCCTCGGGGGCCCAATACCTACAAAACGGAAGACTGGTAAACAACCAGTGCGGAAAACAGCTCAGACATCAAAGACAATCTCAAAGAGGAAAACTACGGGACAAAAGCGAAAACTGGCTCAAAGCCCCATCATAGGAGCAAATCGAGGAAAAGATTAACCACGCGGATTACATCAGCCTCGAGAAGACGCCTAATCCAAACAGAAACAAACTTACCTCATCTTGAGGAAACAGGTCAACCCTCGAGAGCCCCCAGGCCACCCCCCAAAGCCCTCTTCCTTAGCCGTTTTGAGCTGAAACTGTCAGGGGATTGGGGCAACCCTTACAGGCCATCGACTGAGGGAACTGCACAACTCCCTCTCCCCCGACATCCTGTTCTTAATGGAAACAAAGAATCAAGATGTCACTGTGCTCCCAGCGCTTCAGTGGATGGGCTACGAGAACCACTTCACCGTCCCTCCAGAAGGTATGAGTGGTGGTCTAGCCCTACTGTAGAAAAAAGAGATTAACATTACCCTCCAGACATCCTCACCAAACCTCATAGACACAAAAGTAACTGCAAAAGGAAAGAATTTCTTCGTCACCTTCATCTATGGACCACCTCAAAGCGGAAACAGAGCCTCCTTCTGGGAATCCATCTCCAGCTTAGGAGAAAACAGAGACACAGCATGGTGCCTAACAGGTGATTTCAACGACATTCTGGAAAACTCAGAAAAGACAGGAGGCCCACCCAGATGCGAAGGCTCCTTCATCCCATTTAGAAATTTTGTCTCCCAAAATGGACTATGGGATATAAAACACTCTGGCAACCCCTTATCCTGGAGGGGTCAACGACATGATCTCCTCATCCATGCTCGCCTCGACAGAGCAATTGCAAGCTGCTCATGGTCGGACCTCTTCCCCTTCGAACGCTGCGAATATCTGAGATTCGAGGGATCAGACCATAGACCTTTAATTACATTCCTGGATGGAAATAAAGCAAAGAAGAAAATACCTTTCCGTTTTGATCGACGTCTGAGAACCATGGAAGGAGTAAGAGAAGTAGTAGAGAAAGCTTGGAACCCGGACAAACCTGAAGCAGTAGCAACAAAAATCAATCATTGTAGACGAGACTTGATCAAATGGTCCAAAGACAAACAAAAAAGCAGCATGGAAACCATGAGAAATACTCTTGAGTGTGCCCAGTCAGAAGCCTCTCCGAATACCAAACTTATTGGGGAAATTACAGCGGAGCTCGACAAATCCTACAAGGCAGAAGAACTTTTCTAAAGACAGAGAAGTCGTGTACAATGGCTCCACGGAGGAGACAAAAACTCTGCCTACTTTCATGCTGTCACAAAGGGAAGAAGAGCCTCCAACCGGATCACAGTCATTGAAAATAGCCAGGGTGAAGCAGTCTTTGAAGAACACCTCATCAGCCAGGTATTCTTATCATTCTTCCAACAAATCTTCTCCTCCAACGGCTCCCAGGATTTAACAGCAGTGTCAGAAACTCTTAAAGAAAGCATCACTCCAGAAATGAATGAGAGATTAACAAAATTACCTTCTAATGAGGAAATCAGAGAAGCAGCGTTTTCCATACATGCAGATAAGGCCCCGGGACCTTATGGCTTCTCAGCCAGATTCTACCACTCTTTCTGGAACATAATAGGAGAGGACATCAGCCAGGAAATAAAGAATTTTTTCGCCACAAGCATTATGGAAGCTAACCTGAATGTTACTCAAGTTTGCCTCATCCCAACGACGTCGGCGGCGAAATCACCGACGGAGTACATGCCAATTGCTTTGTGCAATTTCCGCTATAAAATTATTGCTAAGATCATCACAGGGCGGCTTCAACCACTCCTCAACTCCCTGGTCTCGAAACACCAATCAGCTTTCGTTCCAGGCAGAGCCATTGCCGACAATGTTTTAATCACCCACGAAACCTTACACTTTCTAAAACAGTCAAAGACTACAAAAAGATGCTCTATGGTGGTTAAAACGGATATGAACAAGGCTTACGACCGCATCGAATGGGGCTTTCTCCGTACAGTTTTAAACTGCCTTGGCTTCCACCAAACCTTTGTCAACTGGATCATGGCCTGTGTCACCTCGGTTTCATACGCTTTCCTCATAAACGGCTCTCCCAATGGTACGGTACTCCCCTCTCGTGGACTCAGACAAGGAGATCCCCTCTCCCCTTTCCTTTTCATCCTCTGCACAGAGGTTTTGTCGGGTTTCTGCAGGAATGCCCAGCTATCAGGAGCTCTAAAAGGCATACAAGTGGCTCGCCGGAGCCCTCACATCAATCACTTGCTCTTCGCGGATAATACCCTATTCTTCTGTAGGACCAATACTGCATGTTGTAAGGAGCTAGCCCAGATCTTAAAGAAGTACGAGTTCATCTCAGGACAACGCATCAACCTTGACAAATCGTCTATCACTTTCTCCTCCAAAACTCCTCCTAATATAAAAGAAAGAGTTAAACACTCGTTGGGCATTGCAAAAGAAAGAGGATCAGGCAAATATCTAGGCCTACCTGAGAATTTTAGTCGGAAGAAAAAGGATGTTCACCGCTCTTGTTGACAAAGTACGTCAACGGGCGCACAGCTGGACCACCAGATTCCTATCAGGCGCTGGAAAACAGGTTCTCCTTTAAGCAGTCCTCTCAGCTCTTCCCACCTACACGATGTCGTGTTTCTTGCTACCAAAATCCCTTTGTAAACGCCTTCAGTCAATTCTGACAAGATTTTTCTGGGACTCTTCCCTGGACAAGCAGAAGATTGCGTGGATTGCCTGGTCAAAACTCTCACAACCAAAGAGAGCAGGAGGGTCAGGTTTCAGAGAGATAGCAGCGTTTAACACAGCTCTCCTAGCGAAACAGAGCTGGAAAATCCTCAAAAATGGGAACTGCTTACTCGCAAGGGTCTTGCTTGGCAAATACTGTGAAGATCAAAGCTTCATGGAAACTGAATGCCCAGCTGGAGCTTCTCACGGATGGAGAGGAATCCTGGAAGGACGAGAAGTGCTACGCAAAGGCCTGGGATGGATTGTGGGCAACGGTCAAAACATCAATGTATGGTCGGACCCCTGGCTGTCTACAACATCCCCCCAAGCACCCATTGGTCCCCCAACAAAGGAAATGCATCATTAACAGTCCAGGACCTCCTCCACCAATATTCAAATATGTGGAATCTCGAAAAAATCCAAAACCACTTACCTCATTATGAGGATACTATCCGACTTCTTATCCCAAACTCCCTTAAACCCCCGGATACCCGAGTCTGGTTACCTGATAAATCAGGAATGTTCTCAATAAAAACTGGCTACAACCTGCAAAAACGGTTCAATCAGTTTGGTGATGCAGAGTTCAGCTGGTTCCAGTATATTTGGAACCTTAACACTTCGCAAAAAATCAAACATCACTTTTGGAGAGCAACTAACGGAGCCCTTCCGATCGGCTTGAACATCGTCTGGCCAGGTATCGACGCCAACTCTAGCTGCTCACGTTGTGGAGAACAGGAAACAGTCACCCACATTTGGCTGGATTGCCCGTATGCCAAAGCAGTCTGACGACTCGCCCATCTTTCACCAAACCCAGGAGACTTCCCACCGGATATTGACTCGTGAAGCCTCCTGAAATCCCTCCACAAGACAAAGAACCTCCCATGGTCAGGACTTACTGAGACCCCCCTCTTTCCTTGGATCCTCTGGTACCTCTGGACCTCCAGAAACAGTCTGATCTTCGAAAGAACGGACTTTTCACCATCGGATCTAGCCGGAAAAGCCACTCGGGAAGCATCAAGCTGGCCATCAGCAAACAAAGCTCCCCCCCAGATACCCGAGAAGCATCCAAAATCGAAGAAGCTACATCACTCCCCCACGGCAGCGATCTGTTGCACGGATGGGGCTTGGATAGCAAGCTCGAAGCTGGGAGGCATGGGATGGACGATCTCGGATCCCCAAGGAGCTCTGATCATCAGCAACTCTTCGGCGAGACCCTTCATCTCCTCAGCTCTGGTAGCCGAAGCTCTGGCGATCTTAGCGGCCCTCCACAAAGCCCTCTCGGCGAATATACGGGATCTACATATACAATCGGACTCGGAAGTCCTCATCAACATCCTGCATGCAAGAACGGAGCAGACAGAGATAGCAGGCATCATGATCGACATCTGATGCCTTGTTCCTCTCTTCTCCTCCCTATCTTTTCGTTTCATTCCCTGATCTGCAAATATTGTCGCAAACGGTCTGGCAAAAACAGGCCTCTATCGTTTAAGCCCAATGGGCTTTGTGTAAAACTCTTGTTAAAGCTCTTTAATATCACTCCTTTGTCCAAAAAAAAAAAAAAAAAATAGAAACTAACCAGTACATAAATAAACCTCCTCGACTAAACAAAAATCAAGTAGCACGATTAAACAGTTACCCATAAGTTAAAATACTGAATGTCAACGAGACATATACGAACTTAGTAAGCTCATACCCTTTCTTTCATATAGTAGTCAACGTTACAAAATAAAAGTACAATGGATGGTAAAGCACAATGCACTAAGTGATTTAAACATAAAATAAAGGTCTTACACAACAAACATCAATAAAGTTTAAACCTTAAACCCATTGATACATATACTTACTTTTCAAAACCTGAGCTCTCGTAGAAACAATCTTTTTGGTGAACTCAGCCGCATATTCACCAACTTCCTCGATTTTCTCAGTAAAACCCTCTACGTTCCTCATGATGTCTTGCATCACAAGTCTCGTGGCCTCCTCCTCTTCTTCTCTTTCCAGAGCAAAGTCCACATGCTCTCCTGTTTTACAATGATTCTTGCAAATTTTGAAATATGAGCGAAAGTCCTAGATGATAGATAATTTGACATCTAACATATATTAAACAGGAAATATTATTGGCTTATATGTCATTATTTCAGAATTTTAAATTTTTAAAATTTTAATAATTGTTAAAAACTTAAATAATTTATTCTTGCAACCAAATACAGTCTTTCTTGCAACCAAACAATAACTTTTCTAATTATTTATTTTTAATTGCATTTAATATTTTAAAAATCTGCAATTAATATTTAAGTTTTCTGTATATAATTTAAGCAATTAAATTTAAATAAATATGATAGAAAATTTAAGTGAATCTTTGTTTTTTTATAAAGTATATAACATATATTAAACAGGAAGCATTAACTTAGGTTCCATTATCTCTTTTTCTAATATTTTTATTGATTTATTTTTGTGTGCTATCTTTATTACCAAACACTTTATTTTAAATTACTTAAATTAATTAAATCAAATTTAAATCGAACCAATCACAAATAATTTGATAATTTTATTAGTTTAGTAAATTAAATTAATTACCAGTTTTATTAATGGAAATAAAAATTATTTCAGTTTTTTAGATCTACGAGTATTTATTGTTTTGCAACAGCTTTGATACACATATTATACAAACGGAGAAAAAATATTATTTTTTGAAACTTCGGATGAAAGTAAATGTAAATCTCGCTTTGTATAAGTTTAAATTAAAAACGAAAATAACTAAATTTTTTTAAAATCTCGACTGAACATTTTTAGATACCCAAATATTTTTCAAAACTTGATAAATTATAAAATTTCTCTTAAATATTTTTACAAATATTACCCCACACAAATGTGCGGGTAGTAACTTAGTTACTTTTAAATAACATGAGTATAGGAAATTATTGAAATTTAAGGAATCAAAAAAAATCTCACCAGAAAATAAACATAATTAATTAAACCACCTTTTCATAGTTTTTCTCATTTCAATTCCTGGGCAATGTCCTAAAGTACTCATTCACTACTAATGATCTTCAATCTGGTTTGGTTGTTGGAATATATAACCAATGTTAATTTTTTGGATAAATTAACCAATATTAATTTTAAAAAAGAAATTAACCAATACATAAATCAACCTCTTCGACTAAACAAAAATCAAGTACCACGATTAAACAGTCACCCATAAGTTTAAATACTGAATATCAACCGACATGTATGAACTTGGTACAAATTCTTTATGACAAGAAAGGTTTTAATGCTTTAGTTTAGCTTTGTAGTGTGATTTCCTTTGACCCTGTTTGACTGTATATTGTTTAACCATTTCTATTGCAATCCATACGGAAGAAAAAAGAAACTATTAGAGTAAAAAACACCCTGATATCCGAAAAACAGAAATCATTTTCTCCTATTAAATAGAAACCAGAAATTTCAATAGCACGATCACGATTAAACAAAAATCTCAGTAGATTAAACTGAAATCTCAGTCATCCAATGAATGAATTTAGTAGCTTTAAAATTTTGTGCTATGTTCTCTGTTTTTTGGTCATATTAGGTGGAGATGGAGTGTCAAAACGAATTATTGAGAGATTCACGGAATTTTGATGGTATGTGAGCCGAAGATTCTGAAAGCCGCATAGAATAATTGCTCCGAGAAGTACACCAATTTATGACCAATAGATAATTGGTTGTTGGAATATATAGTCAATGTTAATATTTTTTTTGGATAAAGTAACTAATATTAATTCGAAAACAGAAATTAACCAATACATAAATAACCTCCTCGACTAAACAAAAATTAAGTAGCACGATTAAACAGTCACCCATAAGTTAAAATACTGAATGTCAACCAGACATGTACGAACTTAGTAAGCTCATACCCTTTCTTGGTTCCCTAATTAAGTTAATGTCATTTAGCTTGGTTGGTCTAGTGTGTGTAATTCTTGTCACTGGTATAGATGTTTCCTTATGGTTTGAGATTGAGTGGGCAATGCTCATGATTCCTTTTCCTCAGGTTGTTTGTTTATTTGTAATGAGTTCTCCATTACTCTTGCGTTTCTTTTGTTCCTTGGTATAATACTTGGCTGTATTGTAATTGCAGGGAGCTTGCTAAAAATTTTCTTGTGTCTGGAACTGCTTCAGGGAGCTTGCAATGTTTCAAGCCAGATATGGTTTCTCCACTAGAAACTTGATCATTATGTTACGATAAGATTGCCTCCAATGCAAAATTCTTAAAATTACCACAGTTATGCGCTGAGGTTTAGTAGATTTAAGGCTCAGTGTCGTTATGTATAAGAGTAGAATCTTGAATTGGTGTGAAATTATGGCTCCTAGGAATCACAACAGCAACTAATTTTCTCTTGGATATCTTCAGTTGTCTCCTTACACGTAATCCCAACAATATTACTTTATCTTGAGGTATATATATTTGTTCGAATGAGGTACTTAAACACCAGTTCTTTCATATAGTAGTCAAAATAAAAGTACAATGGATGGTAAAGCACAATGCACTAAATGATTTAAACATAAAATAAAGGTCTTACACACAAACATCAATCAAGATACATATACTTACTTTTCCCACATTGAATTTTTGAGGTGTTCAAAAACCTGAGCTCTCGTAGAAACAATCTTTTTGGTGAACTCAGCCGCATATTCACCAACTTCCTCGATTTTCTCAGTAAAACCCTCTACGTTCCTCATGATGTCTTGCATCACAAGTCTCGTGGCCTCCTCCTCTTCTTCTCTTTCCAGAGCAAAGTCCACATGCTCTAAAATATCCGAGATCCTCCCTCTTAGTTTATCGACTTGGGAATTTATGGTTTCCGTCGCTCCGTTGTTGTATTTCGTACTCGTTTCCGTCGATGTAAGCAAATGTTTGTATGTCTTCACAGTTTTCTCGTACTTGTTCAACATCTCGTCGATCCATACTCGGCTAGTTTGCATTCGTGGGGACGCTATCGCCAATTGAGTTCGAGCCATTTGACCAATCTGAGGACCTCCAGGACTTATCATTGCGAGTGCAACAAGAACAGAGGCCACACCCCCTAAAACCACATACGACCAATTCTTCAATTTCTCAGCATTCTTCAGTTTCTTATCAAGATTTAGTCTCTGCTCACACAACACCTCCAGAAGCTTAACCTGCCGGTTGGCGACAGACTTGTAATGAGCAGCGAACTCTTCACCAAGAGGATCTCCCGTGGCTTCAAACTTATTCAGCACCTCTAACGTTTTCGCATACTTCTTCTTCCTTCCTCCCACATCCGTGTCCTCCGACTCTGCTTCAAACTGTTTCACCGCAACTCGAATGATATGCTGGCTATTTTTTGCACTCTCAACGAAATTAGCCACGCTATTGAGTAAATTTAAGGTCTCGGCGGTATTTTCTAAATACATATCAACCAAAGAACTAACCAAAGAACGTAGTTCTTTGTTCTTACCCACATCTTTGATGATTTCAAATATGATATCTACTATATTCTCGCCTGTTTCGAAGAGAAACTTGAAGAGATTCGTGATTAAGTCAAAGGGTAGTTGTTGAGTCGCGGTTTGAGCGGAGCTGGTCATATTGTTGGTGAAGCGAAGAATCAAAGGAAGAGATTTATTGGAGCTATAATTAATCTGAAAGATAGAAAAAAAAATCAAGATAAGGAAGAGGTTTGCACGCACCAAGATTACGTTAACATAGGCATTATGAGAAAATTAGCTTAAATGTGCTTATATATATTCCAGTAATACTTAGGTTTGAACATGTATTCTACCGTTTCTCTCATACAACACAATTTTCAAAATATCATGGTTTATGAATATACATAAAGTTCTTAAAACCTATGTAAAACAAAAAACCGCATATACAAAATCAAATACTAAAACTGCAACAAATGATTTTTCTCAACAAAACCCATGTACAATTAGGATTGTAATGCAAATCATGTCACAACTTAGATCTTGAGACATAAAACATAGATAGAACATATTAATCAAAAAAAAATGGGGGGGGGGGGGGGGGGGGGCAAAGTTGCAAAATCCCATGAAAATTGGTTTCTTCAGTTTCCCTCAAAACACGAATGCAAAATTCTCAAATTCCTCTTTACAAGCAAGGAGGTAAAACATATCAAGACGAGCTAAGGTTGAAGAGAGATAAAATACCTGAACTTGAATCACAGAATTCCTCAAGAAATGATGAAAGCTTTACGGGCTGAATGATGCCTTTATTTGGTTACCGATCTTCAATTATAACCTTGATATATATATAATATTTTCAAAAGCAATATCGCAAATATTGTTATAAAAAAAAGTAATAACGAAAATGTGAGGCGGAAAATTATATCTTTTTGTTTTGGGGCGGAAAATTATACCTTAAGCATTAAGAT